CAGATGCCTCTCTCCGAAGGGTTAATGGGCAGGCCCTGTACGGGTCTCCTGGGAAAACTTGCAAAGGGCCCCCTTCACTTGCCACACTTCCGACTCAAGTTATAAAATGTACAAAAACTAACAGTTGAGAAGTATTTAGCTGAGCGTTTGGGAAGCGAGTGTTTCATGTTGTCATAGCTTCCAGTGGACGCCTGCGATTGCTTCAGCTCCCCTAGTAGTCAGTTACAAAGAAAACCATCCCAATTTCTTATTTTCCCTTTTGACTGAGAGGACCACTTAGGAATTCAAGTGTACCAAACTTAGAGTGGAAGGAAAGAAAAGTCGGAATTACCCGTCCCCCATATGCGTGCATGTGCATGTGTGCATGTGTGTGTTAGATAGAGTGCGCATGTGTGCATGTGGAGACCTGGGACTGAGATCTGGTCTCTTTCTTTGTGGAGGTAAAGTCCCAGCTGAATCCAGAACTCGCTGACTGGGCTAGTCTAGACAGTCAGTTTGCTCTGGCGATCCCGTCTTCCCCTTTGGAGGGCTGGAATTACAGGTTCCCTTCAATTGTCCACCTTGTCTGTGTGTGGGTTCTGGGGATCTGAACTCTGGCCTTCATGCTTGTGTGGTAAGCACTTTATCCACGGAGCCATCTCCTCAGCCCAGGAATGTTTCTTAATCTTCTGAAGACAAGAAGATGAAGGGCTCTGCAATATACGAGCAATAGGCTTCAGCGGGAGGGATCCAGCCGTTCCATGGACTCAGAGCATTGAAATGTTGCTCAATAGCTGTCCCAGTATTTCTCACTAGATTCATGTAATCAACTGCTTTGAAGTCTTTCTTGAACATCAGGAGATGTGAGGTCTTCTGGCTCAGGACCACCTTGCTTGTGAGACTGTGAACGCAGTAGTATGTCAGCCCTTACTTTACTCCATAAATTGGCAGAGTTAAACAATGCGGTCTTCAAGCCTTATTTTTCTTTCCTCATTTTGGTTTCTGAATAAAATTCATCAATATGGCTGCTTCTAGGGCTGAAAGGAATTTCTTCCAATAGAAAAGCAACATCCCTGACTCAGGCAGGCAAAAAATACCCACTGGGCAGCCTGTCCTCTTGGTCCAGCCTTCCTGAAATGCCCACAGTACTGTCCATTGCCTTGTGGCACCGGTCAGGTGGGTGCCAATGTGATGGTGGTGAAATGGGGGAGAGAGGTGGAATGGTCCGTGTGCTGTGGAAAGAGGCAGTTCCAAAGAGCCGAGGGCTGTGAGGAATGGGTGGATGTTGGTGGCCTACTTGCCACCTGGGACCATGGTGACATCCAGGCCTGGGCTGCTGCCTCCTGCCATATTGGGGTCCGTTCCAGGAGGTCTGTGTTAATGTCCATGACCCATGTTGCCACCAAGGTCATGGGGATGCCTGGGGCGTGCACTGCCACCTGTGGCCATTTTAGTGTTCAAGAGTCATACCGCCACCAGGACCGTGTAGATCTGAGTGACCTATGCTGACACTGGGGGACATGGTGACATCCGTGTCTGGGTTGCCACCTAGAACCATGTTGATGTCCAAGGGCCACACTGCCACCGGAGTCATACCAATTGAAGTGGCCTGGGCTGCTACCTGTGGCCAAGGTGACATCCAAGTCTGGGCAGATAAAGACCATGTCTGGGTTGTTATTCTATCACACCTGGGATCTATGTTGATGCCCATGGCCCATGGTGTCACCAAAAGCTACAAGGATGCTTGGGCTCTAGATTGCAACCTGTGGCCATGTTGGTGCCTGAGGGCCACGTCACCGCCAGGGCCACACCAATTTGAGTGGCCCCTGCTGCCACCTGGGGCCATGGTGTTATCCAGGCCAGGACTGCTGCCGAGGGCCATGTCTAAGTCCGTGGCCCTACAGTAGCCAGGGTCTGAGTTGATGTCTGAGGCTCCTGATATCATGGAAGGCCATGCTGATGCCAGGAGTCTGATCAGTCACCTGGGGCTATGTTGGTGTTCAAGGGTCACTATGCTGAGGGGAGTCATATCTACCTGAATGGACCAAGTCACCACCTGGGGTCATGGTAACCTCTGAGCCTGAGCTGCTACCAAGGACCATGTCAGGGTCCATGGTCCTGCCGTAGCCGGGGTCTGTATTGATGTTCGTGGCCCATGGTACCACCAAAGGCCACATGGAAACCCTGGGTGTGGGCCGCAATCTCTAGCCATCTTTGTATCTGAGGCTTGGCCCCCTCCTGGGCCATGCTGATCTGAGTGACCCGTGTAGCCACATGGGGCTATGGTGTTGTCTTTGTTTGGAGAACTGCCGGGGGCCATGTCTGGGTCTGTGGCCCAATAGCAGCCAGGGTCTGGGCTGATGTCCATGGCTCATGTTACCACAGGGTGTCATAAGAACCATGATTGGCCAGGCGGTGATGGCACACGGCTTTAATCCCAGCACTCGGGAGGCAGAGGCAGGCGGATCTCTGTGAGTTTGAGGCCAGCCTGGTCTACAAGAGCTAGTTCCAGGACAGGCTCCAATGCCACAGAGAAACCTTGTTTAGAAACAAACAAACAAACAAACAAAAAACCAAAACCAAAAACAAAGAACCATGATTGTTGAAATCTGTGGGCCATGCTGAGCCTGTCCTGTCTCTCACTGGCCCTGGAATAGCTGGTCCTTCCTTTTGCTGTACACTGCAGCAGGAGAGCTGGCCCCATGCCCCCTCACACTCAGGAGAGATGGTCTCACCCCTCACTGCAGGCATGGGAGAACTGGTTACGATGGCGTGGGCCTAGGAAAGCTGGCTCTGCCCCTTGCCTGAGGGACAGTTCCAGTGACCAGGACCAACCAGCTCAGCTACCCCCCTAGACCCACATCATGGGTCTTGGGTTGACCCACCCTAACATCTGCCCCATCTTTGGCCTGCTGTAGTGCACGAAGGGATTGGTCCTGCATGACAGTAGCCATGAGATATTTACGACTCGAGGAGGGGTATCCAAAGGGGTTTCCATGAAGGCCCAGTGAGGATGGTGTGGCAGAGGCCTTGAACCAGACCAAGGACTTATTGCAATGAACGTTTTGCAGGTGGAACTGATTGGACAAAAAGATATACTGAGTGTCACACCACAGCTTCCTATGCCACTCGGATGAATGAAGAGGTATTGGAAAGATGGAGGAGCCCGGTGGGTTTTTTTTTTTTTTTTATTAACTTTGGGGGAGCATGCTGTAAGAATATGGGGCAGATATGGAGTGACTGGAAGGTAAGTGGAATTGGGGTGCATGATGTGAAATTTCCAAAGAGTCAATAAAGAATGATGAAAACAAACAAACAAACAAACAAAAAACCCTTATTAGCCATATCAGTCTGAACAAGACCATAGGGCTTTGAAAGCCCAGTGTTCTGAGGCCTGGAGATTTCCTCTAAGAACTGAGCTTCAGATACACCTCCAGGCAGGGTGGGGGGGTGTTAACTACACATTTAACTACACGTTAGAAAGTTCCCAAACTTTCTAATGCAGTAGGCCTGGGCAGGGCCCAGGAATGTGCATTTCCAACAAGTTGGAGGGATGCTAAGTGGCCTAGTGGTGGAGGGCTTGGCCAACACAGAATCAGGTGCCCAAAACATAGTCGTGTATGCCGCCCAGTTCCACAGCTCCGTCTGGCCATAGACCACAAGAAGGCATCAGATTCTAATATAGATGGTTATGAGCCACCATGGAAGTGCTGGGAATTGAATTCAGGACTTGTGCAAGAGCAGCCAGTGCTCTTAACTGCTGAGGTTTCTTATCGCAAACCTGAGTTGGTCCCACCACTTCCTTTATCTCATGACTTTCTGGGATTTTTACCTTTGTTTCAGCATATCCCTGCCGCCCACCCTCCGAAATGTGCAATGTTAGTACCAGCACAGCCTCCAAAGTATTTTGCTTTCATATAAGATATGTTTTGACTAGGTATATAATTTAAAATTTCAATTTTTTTCCTCGAAAAATTTTAAGGGCATTGTTCTAAACATTGTTCTAAATTGTCAACTTGTGCTGGGCATGAAAAGCTTGTTACCATTTCAAAATCCCTTTCTGTCCACCAGAATTTAAAATACGCACATATGAAAGGTGAGGGCTAATTACAAGTAGGTCTTGCAGTCTTTCAGATTTGAGTCTTCACTTTAAATGTCTCTGGTGAGCTGAGACGACAGGCATGGGCTGCCTCACCCAGCTCGTTACTGCTTTTACACTGTTTTTAATCGACATTAAATTTCATGCCTTTCTTTATAGTTGCTTTCTACCACACTGCCAGCTCTAATTTCCCATTTCCAGTAGTAGTGCAAAGTCTTTTAAAATAAATGTCCTGCCTGTAAAATGAACGTGTTTCAAAGAGGTGCATGGCTGAGCTAAAACTCCAGACCATAGCACTGAATAGGTTGACGTCCCAATACAATAGTTTCAAGATGACTTAGTAGTGCTATCTTGACTAAGGAAAACCTTTTTTTTTTTTTTTTTAAATTTTATGTCTTGGGAGAAGATACCTGGCTGAAAACCCACTTTGTCGCCAGGCTTGCATGCTGGTCTCTCTTCTTCTTTCTTCTTCTTCTTCTTCTTCTTCTTCTTCTTCTTCTTCTTCTTCTTCTTCTTCTTCTTCTT